ACTTTTTTCTACTCATATTATCCCCCTCAGGTAATTATAGCATATATTTGATTTATTTTAAACCTTACATTGTTCACTTTATATTATACTAACCTTCATAATGTAAACCTTTTTATGGTTTGTGTTTGCCTGCCTTAGCCAGAAAAAAAGAACCATTTAAGGACAGTCTAATTTTTTTAGACGTGCAAAGTTATATGTATTTGTCTAGATAAGTATCTATCAACTGAAAACTTAGTTTAGTTTAAACCTGTTTAATATCTATTTAAAATCTGACAGTTTTTTTTTGTGGACAACAAGTAATGAAGTTTAATTAACCAGTACTGGGAGTAACCTTCATGGACCAGCATCACTTCCAGGAGCTGACTGATCAAGTGTGAGAACCATGGGCCTCATGACTGGCATGAAAATAGTTCAGATGTAGAGCCTATACAGTATCACCGGCTTTAACATTCAAATTTAGCCTTCAGATGATGGAACCATTAATATTTAGTAGCTGTTATTTGCAATTGCATTTACATTGATGTCACTCATATTTAACATAGCTGCTTTACTTTTGTTTTGCCTATTTTTGCTTCCATAATATTTTTTAAATAATAGCTAACACCTGAATACCAGCTATGTGTCAGACACTGTGATGATCACTTTACACAGATCATCTTTTTAAATCTTCATCAAAAAAGCCTATGAAGTAGATCTATTATCTTTATCTTACAAATTCAGAAACTTGAGTTTTAGTGGGCTTAGGTAACTTGCCTAAGGACACTCAGCAAATACACTTTGGGGCCAGAATTTGAATGCTGGAGTTCCCACTGCTCACCACTATTATAACCTGCTCTGAACAGAAGTTTCTTTTTGCTGTAAATACATTGGTTACCATGAAAGTCTGATTAAAATATGCCAAAGAAAATTGCAAGGTTTATTAAAGTTTTAATAAAAGTACAATAATAAACTTGAGTGTAATTCATAAAGCAACTTACATTGTGATTAACTTTAAGAGAAGGAATAAGGCAGAAAACTAACTGGGTAGGATATTTTAATGCAAAATCCTTACTCTCCAGTATAAAAAGAATTAATATTGTATAAAGCCATTCTCATATTGGTCTTGTCAGGAATTGATGATTTACTGTTTCTTCATTACTTCCTAAGGTTCTCTTCATTTTATCAATAAAGACATATGGATCTCCTGTTGATTAAGTCTAAGTCATTTTTTCTTTGTATTCTTTCTTCCTAATATTACTATTTTCATTTTCTAAATTAATATAAATATTTTCAGGTTCTGTATTTTTATAAAATAACTGAAAACCATGATTACTCTGGTCTTTCTAGTTCTTCCTTCAATTTAACTGCCTTTGAGTATGTGGAAGAGATAAGATTTCATGGTTTTATTGTAGAAGGTATCTAAAATTTTGAAATGAGCTATCAGGTAAGATGCTTAGCCTACTTTCTGATATTCAGCATTTCTCATATCATATTTATTGCGAGGAGGTGCATCCAACAGTAAGACTATTTATCAGACCTATCCTTGGTTTCAGAATAGATCCAGGCTTGAATAATAAATCTGCTCTTTACTGACTCAGTCACCTCAGGCAAATTACTTACTTAAACTGAGCCTTATTATCCCCACCTGCAAAGTGATATAACAGAGATAATGACATATATAAATACTTGGTAGGGTAGATGACACGTAGTACATACTCAATGATCATTTCTTCCTCTCCTCTCCCTCCAAGGTTTATAATAGAAAAGAAATTAAGAAGGGTAAATGAGGAGTCTTCTAGTAAGCCCAGATGAACCATAGGAAGGGAAACAGGGTGCAAAAACATGGAGAAGAGTCTTGCGTTTTCATCTCAGAGGCATGCAGTATATTAAGTTCACAAGAGCATTGGGAAAATGACACACATATTTAATCTACTAGGTTATAGTAAGTTTAATGGGATCTTTGTGTCAAATGACGTTTCGTTTTCCTTTCCCTCCCCCTTTTCTAATTCCCTTTTGCTAACATTCTAGATAGCTTTTCCTGACTCCATGAAAAAACTTCTGGAGGTAGCAATAAATATGAATAAAGCTATGTGGCTAGTTCTAAGTTGCACCCTGCCTGATGCTTCTGAGCAGTTTAGTAAAGGCTGAAAGAGCCCGAGGAGCATTATTCTTTGTCTCTCTTTGGTCTTCCTCTTACAATTCTGCATTGTCTGTCTTACTCCCATTTACTTGTAATCATGTGCTCCACACCCTCAGAAGTCCAGAGTAGAGAAGTCCTAGGCAGCTCTGTCCTGATACCAGCATGCCAAACATGTGAGAATTTTATAGAAGCCTGTTTTTTGTCTTGTGTGCTGTCTACTAAGGGAGGGGAAAAACAGAAGTACTAGGCAGCACTGTGAGTTCACTGAAAGGGTGTGTCCTTCAAAATGACACCATTGTCATACCAGGAGTGACGCTTCATAACCAATTCCCAGCTGTATCTGCTTGTTTTGATAATTATGGGCAGGACTCCTGGAATCTTCAAGTTTGACGGAAGTCAGTTTTGCCTTCAAGCCTCTCTCTGGACTTACATGGAGTTTTGTTCATATTTACCAGAAGGATAGAAAATATTGACTTGTAATTGGCATGACTCACCTATAGGAGTAGAATTACAAAATTATACAATTTGAGAGATCCAGGCTTCTTTACTCACAAAATATCTTCCTCCTCATGGGATACTATATTGGAAAACCTGACTAGCAATGTCATTTCCAGGCATTAATTGATTCATGTGTATTTCTTTTCTTAACACTTTCTGCTCTTTGGGGCATTTAGAAGTTTTACATGAGAGGAATAGATAACTTTGTAGAGGGATAGATAACTTTGGAGCACACTGCCTGGAAGAACAGTCTTCGAAAAGTACTTTGTTGGGGCTCTAGGAAGTGATGGAGAAGCACAAGGCTGCCTGAGCAGGAAGATGGGGTATTATAGAAAGAAACGGTGTACGAAAAAGATGAGAGGGTGCAAAGTAACTTCTTTTCTTTTTATAATTGTAACTGGAAGACTGACAAAAGAGAAACTGTAGTATGAACTTACGTGTGATTAAAGCTGAAGGCTTATAAAAATCACCAAAGTAGTAAAGCATGTGGTTCTATTTATGCTTATGTCTAATGAATGGTCAGTTCTTAATTCAAGAAAGACCTTTTTGTCTTCGATATATATCTTAGTATATGAACCTTTTGCCAGAGCCACAGTCCTACTGTGGCAAGCAAGTTATGAGATTAAATTTGCATAAGAGATTAAATTTGCAACTTTTGGCAATTTAATAATTTTAGTGTTAATAATAATTAATAATAATTTTGTGAGCATTAATGGCTTTAATCAAAGCTCAGAATCTTAATTAAACTCCAAAACAGCCATGACAATAGAATTATAAACAGGACTCTAAATGTGATAATGGCTTCCTGTCTTGGGAGTGTTGTATTGATGCTTTTTGTTTAGATGGTTTTACTAAAAGTTTTGGTTAGCTATAGATATGAGTAAAAATTTTGATCTGTATGTGACTGGCAGGCCATTCCAGATCATATATGTATGATGGCAGTTTTCAGTTTGTGGTTCAAATGGTTATTTGTAGGCTTTGTGCTACTATTACATGTAGCTTTGTTTTTAAGATCCACTTAAAATACTTTGACAGTACACCTTGTTTTTCTACTTATTTGTTCATTCAACATACATTTACTGAAGTACCAACTGTCAGATCCTTTTAAGTATTAGAGATGCAAAGATATAACAAAATCTTTGCTTTCTAAGAGTTCAGTCTAGTACATTCGCAGTTAACAAGGCTCCCTGCTTATCAGTGAGTGTACTCCATGGCAGTGTGCTCAACCTTAGCACTTTGACATTTTGGGTCAGATAATTCTTTGTTGGGGGGTGGAACTGTCCCGAGGCGCATTATAGGATGTTTAGCAGCATCCCTGGCCTCTACCAACTAGATATCAGTAACACTGCTCCCCTTCACCCCCAACTCGTGACAACCAAAGCATTCTCCAAATGTTGCCAGATGTCCCCAGGGAATAAATCCAGAATGTGAACCACACTTTTATATATGTCATAGACAAAAGGCTTTGGTAAAATTAGTTTTCAAAAATTTAATACAAAGCTAGCAAATGTAATGAAAAGAAAACAACCTAAATCAGTCACACAGTGCTTATTACTCCACATGACTGTTCAAAGAGCAATACTACATAACAGTATATCACTGTTGATGATTAGAAGGCAGGACTCCTGGAATCTTCACCTACTAAATGTTTTGTTTTAGTTTGAATATCTATGAGATAGATCACTTTCTGAGTTACTATGAGTGACTAAGTTACTATGTATAGGAGAATAATTACAATTTCTTAGGGACTTCGCTACAACAGCAAACAATGCATTAATTGGAAAGGGAGAGTCTACTATTAATACAACCTTAGTTCTTCTCTGAGTTCTTTGTGTCAACACTGTCCTTTTCTTGTTAAGAATGAAAATCATTATCTCCAATGAGTAGCATGGACAACTGGCACATTTTTAGAATGTTTCCTGCTTTCTGCAGGCACATGACTTTGGATTTTGTTACCTTACTGATTGAACACTACCTAGCTTAGACTTCTTCACCTTGTTGCTTTTCTGTATTGAAACAACGTACAAAGAACATTATACAACCAGGAATTCATTTTAATAGGTTCTTGAAGCTTGTCTTCTAGTAGTGCCTTCCTTCTCGAAGTAGAGACCACTTTCCTTTTAGAAACAGTGCTTAACTGGAAGTCCTAAAACCTGAGTTTTAGTTTCACCTCTGGTACTAACTAGCATTTAAGCATTTATTTACCATCTCTCAGCCTTAATTTCTATACATGTAAGATAGATAGGTAGGTAGGTAGGTAGGTAGATACACAGATACATAGATAAAGACAGGCTATTTTATCCTGTTTTCCAGATAAGCACCCTAAATTTGATAGACACTCTTTGCTCAAACAAACTTGTTTTTTATATCTTTATTCTTACAGGATATCCACATTTCAGTTTCTGTGCCTAACCAGAGTTTTGATTCATCATGGATGATCTGTCAGCAGAACAGATTCAGCTGAGGGCTAACCAGGTTACTGATGAGGTAAACCTTTTACTTGGAATAAGTAATTAATTCTCTTTCAGTTTTCATAGTGGAAGGATGAGAGACCTTCTTAGAATACCATTTGGCCTCTTCCTGTTCCCTTTATATCAAAAACGCATTTGCCCTAGAGTGCCGTTACTAGCTCTTTATTTTTTCAACTTGCCAAAAAAACTAAACAAGTAAAAACAACTTGTATGATTTTTTTCTTAGATAATCATTATTGAACAGTTGGCAACAAAGATATTCTAGATTTGAGGAATTCTGGACATTTAGTTTTAACAGAATTTTCTAGTATCTGTGTAACATACATAGATTTCTGCTTACATTGCATTTGTATAAATCCCATTAACTTAACCTTCTAAATTTTGTGTTAAGGAGCACCTGGTTCAAAGAAAGTAACAGAAATTATAGTGACCGACTCTTTTTTTGTTTGTTTTTAATGGGGGGATAGATAGGCTGGCAATCTTTAAAAATAGAGTGAATATAGCCTGTGATCAGATTTTTTGCAGTGGGGAGAGGGACTAAATGTTTTAGAATGCTAAAACTCTGTATTTTTTCCTAGTCTCTGGAAAGTACAAGGAGAATCCTGGCTTTAGCCATTGAGGTAAGAAAGTATTTAATCATCAAGTTAAGTATAGAAACTATAGAGAAGGGATCCTGGTAACACAAGCTGAAATTATTGTTAAGAGTTAGAAAGGTATTGTACCAATAAGGTTTATTATTTGAAGCCACTAATTGCTGAAATTGTCAAAACATGGACTCATGGCCCTTTTTTGTTTTTCTCACTCACAGTATTGGAATATGACAGGGAAGATCAATTCACCAAGAGTTTATGATTTAATTATTTCGTGGGGGTTAATATGTTAAAATGTGTTGGTTTGAGGAGATTAGTTTTCTCTGTATCTCTACTCCTCTGAGAACTTAGGTTTCTAATGATTCTCTCTTGCTGTTTGTCAGACCTTGAAGGTTTTGTTTCTGTTGGTTTTGTTTTGTTGTGCTATAAGTTTTTTTTTTCCTTCTTCTAGTCTCAGGATGCAGGAACCAAGACTATCGCTATGCTGGATGAACAAGGGGGTGAGTTGCAGTCACTGGCAGAAACTATTAATTTGATTCAGGATGCCAGAAAGCCTTTTCAAATCAGCCATGTATAAAATTAATTTAAGCCTTTCGGAGTACCTTGCCTTTGTAACATAAGAGTGATATTTTATTTCCATTTTCTGATTTGAATTATATCATGTGTTTATTGCCTATTTGAAGTAGGGACCACAATGCCCAATTGTGTACCAAGTATTTGTTAGGTAGGAGGGCTTATTGTGTGCATTGGTCATATGTGTATTAGACATGATATTCTTGCATCATTTTCAGAAATCAGGTTAAGTCCTTAAACAGGTCTAGAGTCAGATGGACTTGGAAACATTTTGTTTGATTTGGCCCTCGGCATTCTAGTTTTTATGATCTAATTTTTATTAATCTTACGACAGCCCTCAAGTTTTGAGCCTGTTCAGTGATAGAAATGTTGATGATCTGGTCTGGTCAAAATACACTTAATTTGGTTGCAAGGGTGATCTCTAAACCCATCCTCACATGCTCCTGTTATACAAATTTCTTTAGAGCAAATATTTCCAGTCAGAGGCCAGATGCTTCAGAATCAGTACGTGAAAGACTGTTTTGTTTTGGACAGTATGCGATACCTTCTGGTACTGACATAGTCACTATGATAGGTTATTGGTAGATTTCAGGTTAAAGTTTGCTGTTTCCTAATAGTAATGTTTTATGGCTGGCACTGTGAATGTAACACAAAATGTGACTTCTATAACTTATTCTTAGAACAACTAAACCGCGTAGAAGAAAACATGGACCAAATAAACAAAGACATGAGAGAGGCAGAGAAGACTTTAACAGAACTCAACAAGTGCTGTGGCCTTTGTGTATGCCCGTGTAATAGGTGAGTTGATAAGTCAACACCTTCTTCAAGTAAATCTAAAGTAAGAGCATCCCCCATCCCTGCCCTCCCAGGAAGCGTGACTGGGCGTCAATAAGGAACTTTGTTAGAAAAACTTAAGCTATTTCTCTTTCAGGCAGATCAAGCTTTTTATGTAAATGGGCATGTTCACTAAATCATTGCTTAAATGTATTCCATCTTTGAATCAAGTCCCAATTTCACTTTTTAATAATACACACAATGGTTGGGAAATACACATCTGGATAATACAGAGCAGGATGGAACTAGTGTCTTTTCCTTTCAAACAAGGAGCATTAACAAAGCCTGTATTCTGTGGTAGACAAATGAGGGATGGCCAAGGGACTAAAGGACTTGGCTCCCGGCTTCAAAAGACTTATCGTGTGGTTGGATCTATGAGGAAGAATAGGAAAAAGTAAAAACTATGTAAAAGCTACTCACATGATATCAACTGAGGGTAAGGGTACAGAACTGATCAGGGTTAATTTGGGGAACATCTTATAGGAGAGGTAGGACTGGAGGTGAGCTCTGAATGATTAGAAAGATTTGGATGGACACGGAAGAAGTGGGAAGACATTTCCTGCAGGAAATTTGATGTAAATAAAGATTACCAAGGAGCTTGACTTAACTGAACTACATGATTCATACAGATGAGAAGTGGAAAATAAGACGTAAGTAAGCAGTAGAGAAATTTGAAAGCCAGCCTAGGAGTTGATTATTGGGGTGGAGTACCTAACTGCATGCCAGGAGACTGGTTAGGAACCTCTTGTAATCTAGGCCTGTGAGGTAAAACCTTATTATTGAGATGAGAGAGAAAAGTGTAAATCAAGGAAAAGTCGCTTCAGATCAACTGATTGTATATCAAACGTGAAGAGAAAAGTCAAAGAAGACTGAAGATTTGAAGTCTCTAGTAAACCAGGAGATGAAAAGTCTTCAAAATATTTGTGTACAATGTATGAGATTATACTTGATGGAAAGGAATTCATTCTTTTGGTGACTTTATTATGAATATCTAAGTTCTCTGCCTGTTCTTGGGTAAAACAAATTCCATAGTGTTGACAAATATTATATGTATTCCCACTAGAATGAGGTTTGCACTAAGACAGTTAACCATTATTATCTTCCCTTCTGTTAGAAGGAGCTCATTTTTGTTTTAAAAAGTCATTAACAAAACAACTTTGAATTTTACCGTTGGCTGAAATGACATTGTCTGGAGATTGAATGACTGTCCTTTCTGTTGAGAGTATTTATTTTTAAAGAGCTTTGTAAGCATTAGTACTTCTATCCAGTTGTCTCAGCTGGTATGGTAAACCAAGAATGGGATACAAAGGTTTACAGACTCAGCATTTTTACTCTTTGAAGGAGGTATAGATGGAGGAGCTTTTGTTCTGTCATACTTTCAGATGTGTTTTCATGTGACAACATTGTCTTGCCAGTTTTACTAGAGAAAATAGAGACAAATTGTTGGCCAATTTTAGGGTTTGTTCTGGGCATAAGAAGCTAAGAAAGACAAGTCTATTGACCTTCTTAGACCTTGGTCGACTCTCCCGAAGTGCATATTTTAATAACTATGATCTGTCAATCAAAGTTTAGCAGATTACTTTAAACAAACAAGTTAGAAATGCACAGACTTTTTTGATATAAAATCTTAACTATGTTTTGCAAACTTGTGCTTTTACCCTCTTGGAAGAGTTCAGAGGGAAAAAGTAAATGAATTTTCCTGAGATAGATATTAAGAGAAGAGCAAGGAAGAGGAAGTCCTCCCAAGGACCTAGAGCAAACTATCTCTGAGTCAGGGGTTGATGAATAGGAAGAGCAGTGAATCCTAAAGTGATCTAATATCATAGAAAGTAGGAAATGGAGCTACAGAAATATTAATTTTACTTGCTTTGGTGGACCGAGCGAAGCATAGGCAGGATTTTCTTGGATACCGGTGAGAGAGAAGGTAGAGTGTGGTCCTGAAATAGTCAGTCTTCAGCCTCTAACCTCAGCAGAGCCATTTTCTAGTGGGTCAAGAGGAGAAAGCAGTTCTTAACAGATGGAATCAGGGGTTCCTATAACAGAACAGTTGTTCCCTGAAGAGGAGAGAGTAATATTTCAGTTTAAAAGATTCTGTCTTCCTTCCACCTATGTCTTCTTTATACCATTGAGTCCTTGTCCTGTATGGTTCTCATGTCCTCAGCTCAGTCTAATTTTATTCTGCCAGGGTAATAATCTTTCTAATCTGATCTGCTAATCTGTGTTTCACATAAATAGCCATAACAGGAGCTTCTCAAAGGCTCACAGGATCTTCTTAGTCTTCTGTCCAAAGCTAGTACTAATTCTGGTAGTAATAATAATAACAATTTAGGTTCACATTTAGAAATCTAAAAAACTCTGAAAGCCAAGGGTTTGTTTTTTCAGAATGTAGTGCCACAACTTATTAATTAGACCACAAGATATAACCTGCACTGAAGTTATTTAATAATTGTTATCACACTTAGTGTAAATGTTAAATTTGTTTCACTGCAGAAATATTGATGTGTATGATTATGTGGTACTGCTCAAAATGTCTCGCATCCAAGGGTTTGGATGAGAGTTGTGGGCCTATATATTAATTTAGGCTCTTACTATCCTGAGCACTTTAAATTTAATCCTTGCAGTAACTTTAATATAACATAGATTCTCTTATTTCACCATCTTACATAGGGGGAAACGGACACAAAGTGGCTACACTAGCAATTGGAAGAGCTGAGATTCAAAACCAGGCAGAGCACTAGTTGTTAACTATATGCTACACTGCTTCACTTTGGAAATTTCTTTTGTTCGGTAGTATTCATTGAGGTCACGCCAGGAGATTCTTATTTTTGAGAGGATGGGAAGGTATGATTTATTGGTGGTCATGAGTAAGGAAGGGACAGTGCCAAGGCCCTCACGAGTGCAGGGCCTGCTGTTTGTCCAGGGGGCCACGATTAGGGATGTATTTGACCCCACAGCCACCTGGGATGAGCTGCTTTTCTGCCACCATGTTCTCAAATTCACCTGCATTAAATTTGGTAAATTCCCACTTCTTGGAGATATGGATCTTTTGGTGGCCAGGGAACTTGAACTTGGCTCTCCGTAGGGCCTCAATCACATGCTCCTTGTTCTGCAGCTTGGTGTGGATGGACATGATGACTTGGCCAGTGTGGACCCTGGCCACTGTGCCCTCGAGCTTTCAAAAGGCACTGCGCATACCTCTCTGGAGCCTAGGTTGGGGACAGTATGCCAGGCATGAGTGTCCACTGGAAAGGGCTGTCTCCAAAGTCCCTTAGGGCAATCCATACAGGCAACAGGCTACATACACTACTGAGGAGGCTGCTGTTGGCAGCCATTGCACACTGGGCCCCCTGAGGAAAAGAGCAGTTGGCTTAATTGGCTGCAGGGGATCTTTTTTTGTTAAGATGTGAAAATAGCTTCACTTAACAGCACTCTGTAGTAGAAGGGAATTTTAACTTTAGGTAAGTCTTAAGGGCTACTAGAATTTAAAAACAGACTAGCAGAATTAAACTTTAAAAGTGTGAATAAATGTCATTCTTTTAGCTTGTTGCTATTTGAATCCTAAGAGCAGAATAGCACAAATCCTTATTAAAAATCATGTATCTCTGTCAGTAACTTTGATAAGTCATAATTCTGATTAACATGAGTTTAAAAAGTGGCAGGGACATCTCAGAATAGTAAACTGGTGTCTGGTTTAACCATTCTCAGAGAACATATTAACTTGCCTCTCTTCAGTCTATGCTTCAAATGTCAAACATAATGGCACGTAATTTGAAGACAAGTTGGTTTTTCTGGACCACTTAAATTCAAAATTGATACTACAGTTTCAATCTTATGCCATATTAAGGTATAAATATTCAGCTCTGGTTAAAATAAATACTGAAATACTGTATTTTAATCAACATGTGATGACTTCCTCCATCCTGCTCTCTGGAGATGTAAAATATTTGCCTTCTCTTCATGTTAATTTTCATAATTTTAGGACAGAATATCATCATTCAGAAGTTCTTAGGAAAAATGAAGTATGCCCTGGTTTACATAGTTTTCTTGTTTTTCTTTTTATCTAGATTCTCAGATGTTGGTTGTTTCTATGAAACCAGGCAGGAATTTAAATGCATTATGTTTTGAAAACTCTAAACCTGCTTCTGTTCTGTTTGACTGGCATTCACTATTTTCTGCAATTCATTCTCTCACCTAATCTCTTCTTTTCTAATCTGCTTACTAAAAACGAAGACTTAACATCAGAAGCCGGGCTCAATAACTGATCAAAGGGAACTTTAAGATGCAGTCTTGTGGCGCAGTTTGGGCTGTTAACCTGCTATCTAAAGGTGACGCTTCAGATGGCTTTTCTGTGCATGTGCATGGATTTTGTGAATGGTGGAGACTGTCTTAAAAGCTGTGCTGTGGTGTGTAATGTAAAGTGAATTTGTTCTTGATGAGTGCTGTCTGCCAGAAGATGGACTGGACCAAAGGATCTTTTAATTTATAATACCACTCTTTAACTAATGGCTCTGATACTAAGTTTTTGCTAAATAACATTTAAGGTTATAAAGTAAAAATACCCCTGAAGTTTCCTAAGAAGTTTTAAATAGGTTGATCTTTGTAGAGAATTGGTGCATTCTAGTTCTGATCAAAGACAAGAGAATTCAGGCTAAATCCATCTTTCCATGGACTTTGATTTCAGCATCCTATTTTCTATTAAATTTCCCTACTTCTTTCCAGTTCCAGAATCAAGATTTCCTCTATTTAAATGTTGCTTCTAATGATTTGGATTCCCTATGATTTAGGCAGCTACCAAATTGAGGAATTAATTACCAGTGTAAGTCATCTTAAATGCCATTTGGAACAAGGTGGGATATAAATTTAGAATGTTACCATATCTAGTATCTCCTTTTTTAAAATAAAGGTTTGCTCTGTTTATATATGTTATAATCTATTCCATAATACCTATTACATCATGTGTTTGCTTGCTGTGGTTTCATATTAAATTGATGCAGAGTTAACTAATCTTAGTTTTTTATGGAAGTTAACCCCCTGTCAGCCTACTGTTTATTATAATGTTTGACTCTTTAATTTTGGATCTTTATTGGAACTATAAAGACCATGGTTAAATGTTAGAAAATTAAGAGTTTGATTTCTAGCCTTTGTTTCTTGTCCTACTTTTTCTTCTTTCCTGTAGCCTAATCAACAATCACACACACACACACACACAGACACACAAACACACACGCTCTCTTGTAGTCATTACAATTGGTATTTATACGATCCCTTTTTTCCCTGGTATGAGAGAATTATAGCTAATATTGGGCTTTCTTTTTGCTGTTTTTATTCAGTTACTACTAATGTTGACAACCAAAACTCAAAAAAGAAATTGTTATTGCGTTCATATCCCGATACTTGTTGTTTTCTGCATTTACAGCAGCCGCTTGAATTGATTAAGGGATATTTCACATTTTTATTTCAAAAATGCCATTTTTGAATATGATATTTATAAGGAAAAAATATGATGGGTAAAGATTATTAGACTCTTCAAAACTGAGGTCAGGGGTAAATCTAACTTTCTAGATGGAGTTCTTAATTGTATTAAAACCTGTCACAAATTGGCTTAAGCATTTTATCATGAAGTCTGATTTCTTCCCAGAATAGCTATAAATTTTATTATGCAGAAGAGTTCTGTTACAAATCAGAACCATTTCTTTCTTACTGTAGACCAAAAATAACCCTGACCTAGATGTCTTTTTAGGTAGCTGTATTCCAGCTATATGTTGCTATCTATAAATCTCAAAGCTAGGGAATGTTAATGGGTTCGAAGAATAAACATGCCATTTGGTAATCTGTGGGCTTAAAGTCATGAGCTTTTAACTAAGGATCAGGTTGAGGAGGTTGGAGCCTGTATTTTTTCCTTGTTAGATCAAGAGCCACAATTCCTGTCCTAGTCTACTCTATGTACGAAGACTCTCAGAAGCATAGTGTCTTATTAGTGACTTTTGAATCCAAGCCATCACTCTTTGATCTGTTCTACAATCTTGACATCCTGATAAAAGCCTCACTTATATTACTTTTATTAATACTCCTGGTTAACTTTCTCTTAAACCAATATATTATTTATTTTGTTTAGTTGCTATTATGCTACTTCAGAATTTTGCTTGAGACCCATCTTATAAACAAAGAATACAGGTAAATGAGTTTTTACCAAATTAACAGATAATTATATATAAATATTCATTTAAATAATCTGTATCCACCTTGTTCCAGGGAGGATTTAACATGGCTTATTAACATAGAGATTAATTAATTTATAAAACATAATGGCATAAATAAGAAATTGTGAGAACTTAAAGAAAGGCACTTTAAGAAGTAGCTCTTCAGTATTCATAGATGTGTTTACATTCCCAGTGCCTCTTATCAAAAAATAAGTAGTACCCTTTCTGTAACATTGATGATTAAAGTCTAAGATCCAGTTCTGGGTTTGCCAAAAATAAATCCTCACGTGTCCTATTAAGGATGGAGCCAGTGTTTTTATAAAATCTCTCCTCTGCTTTTGTAACTTCAAAACTTCCTCATTAACATATTGTGTGGAATAAATCCGAAACCATTATTATAGCCATATACTGCTTTGTTTTTGTTTACAGAAAAGCAAAATTGTAAAAAATTGTAAAAAAATTTAAAATTGTTTTTAAAAAAGTGTATTTTGTGATAGAGATTTCAAAGTTATTTTACTAGGCTCTTTTTCTTGCCATTTATACCTATTTAAGTAGTAAGCCCCATGGTAAAATTCTGGCATTGGCTTATTTTCAGCTATATGATTTATATCTAAAGCATATGTTTTTATTTTTAAGAGGCCTGAATTTAGGATCTTTTTTTTTTAAGATGGATAAATTAAACTCTTAAATAAAAAAACCCTAAACCAATATGGCCAAGGTACTCATGTATTGCCTGTTCAATTTGGAAATAATTTGTGCCTTTCCTTCATGATGTTTATTTCTTAAGAAACCTTTTTTTAAAAATTTAATGCAAAAATTCTAACTTTAAAAAACGATCATCTGGAACTACTACAGCTCAAGTAAGTGGGCAGCTGAGGTCTAAGTACTGCCCACTCAACCTACTTTCCCTTCCATCTCTCGTCAACCTCTGGAGATGCCTCTGAGGAACCTCTTAAAGCATCCCAGAGCACCTTTCCTAAGGAATTTTTTTCCTAGTGTCCGTTAATCTCTTTTCTGGAGAGCATCAGGCTAAGAGAACCTGAAATAATTGCACTTTGCTACTTGCTAACTGCTTAACTAAGATTTGGTGGAAGTAGTTGAACCTTAAAAAAATTTTTTTTAATCTTAGTGTGCTTACACAATTCATCTTTTTCGTATGCCAGATTGTGGTGAAGCATAGTTTAGATATTCTAGATCTAGCTTATGCTAAGGGTGCTAGGTCATCCTCAAGGACACAAGCACTAATGACAATTCTTCCTCTCTTGCTTTTCAATATCTCTCTACACTCCTGTCTCATACAGGACAAAGAACTTTGAGTCTGGTAAAGCCTATAAGGCAACATGGGGAGATGGTGGAGACAACTCTCCTAGCAATGTAATATCTAAACAGCCAGGCCGAGTGACAAATGGTCAGCCTCAGCAAGCAACCACAGGAGCAGCCAGCGGTGGATACATTAAACGGTATGCCAGTTCCTCCCAATATTGTTACCCTTTTCCTAAATGAATGGCTCTCTCTGGAGGATGGGTGTAGTTATACATGAACCCCAACTCATCAACTTGAAATAGCATTTATTCCATTTTAAAATTTGCCTTCTGACAAAATGGTGACTGATTGTTGACCTTCAATGATAGATTAATTAATGATAGATTACTTTCCAATTTATTCAAGTAATCATGCTTTACTTCTGTAAATAAGGTATGTTTTAAAATGTATCATCTAGCAGGGAGGATATAGGTCAAGTCGTACAGCGCATGCTTTGCTTGCATGAGGTCCTGGGTTTAATCCCCAGTACCTTCTCTAAGAATAAATAAATAAACCTAATTATGTCTCCCCACCAAAAAAAAAAAGTATTGTATAGAGTAGGGGTCAGCCAGATCCCTGTAAGGGTATCTGTAAAGGGTCAGATAGTATTCTAGACTGTGCAGGCTGTCCAGTCTCAGTCACTTAGCTTAACTCAGCTTAGCTACTCAGCTCTGTTTCAGGGTAACAGCAGCCATCCATGTACAGTATGTAAGCAAATGAGCAAGGCTGTGTTCAAATAAAACCTTATTTATAAAATCAGATGGCAAGCCAGGTTTGGCCTTTGGGCCAGAATTTTGTAACCTTTGTTTTAGAGCAGTGGTTCTTTAGACTTAAGCGTGCATCAGAATCACCTGGGAGGTTTATTAAAACAGATTGCTGGGATCTACTTCCAGTCTCTGATTCAAGAGATCTGGAGTGGAGTGTGAGAATTAGCATTTTTTCATGTCTAACAAGTTTCCAGGTGATGCTGGGAATTATGGTTTGAGAACCACCATTCTAGAGTTGTTACTTAATCTGCTCTTAAATGGCTTTAACACATTGTGCCTCTCTTGGGTCAGTCTTTCCATTTGTGCTATATAATGTTTCCCAAGACTGTTAACCTACATCCTTTGGGTCTAATACTTCCTTGAGGTCATTTTGGTTACTTATTTTTATGAAAACTAAATCCAGACTTAGTCCATTTACAATTCACCCAAAAGTACTGAATTAACATCCTTTTTGTGGTAGTGTAATGAATGATGCCAGAGAAGATGAAATGGAAGAGAACCTGACTCAAGTGGGCAGTATCCTAGGAAATCTCAAAAACATGGCCATAGACATGGGCAATGAGATTGACGCTCAGAATCGACAAATAGAACGGATCACAGAAAAGGTAAAAGCTTCTTAGTGCCACAGGAAAATGAGACATCCACTACAGTGTTTTAGTAATGGATGGATATCTGTGCTAGATATTTTGGAGGAGAACAGTGTGATAAAATCCTGTCCTCACAGGTTTTACAGTTTTGATGAGGTGGCAGTTCTCACACTGAAAAACAGTAGTCAGTTCCTCCTATCTCTTGTTCATGGCAGTTGGTTCATTTTGAAAACAAGACCTTGGAATGAAGGGGTTTTATTTAATTTCACACATGAAGTTTACAATCTCCTCTAACCTTTGTGTGGGCTGTTGTCTGTTTGTTTTTTTTTTTAACCCCCTGAATGAGCGAGTTAGCTTTTGGAATGTTGTTTTGTAAACTAATGACAAATTAGCAAGATCCTGAATCCTTTTCTCAAGAGTCAGTAGGTAAAAATCAGTTCTGCAGAATAGTTCTTGTGGGGTGGACACACAAAAACAGATAGAGCCCTGTGAGTAATGAAAAAGTATGATTGCTATTTTTTATTTCACACCATATAAAAGATACTGAAATTAAATTATATTCAGTGTTTGGTTATGTCATATCTAAAAGCCTTTCTTATTTATTGTTACTTCATTAAAATCTCAGTATACCTTAAAGACTAGGGTAAGTTTTTAAGCTTGACTCTGTTGAATCACTTATGATGGATTTCATTGAGGCAAACAATGGATCATAAGATGCTTTCAAGATGTAAAACTATGGGAACATATAGAATTCATGAAATACTGGCAAGTTCTTCTATTATAACGTTGCATGTTTATACACTGAAGTTTTTCCAAATGAATTTGATATTGTCACTTCCTGCCCAAAATGAGTTGTATATTGTGACTTCGACTATTTCCTGAATTTTCTCAGTGTGTCAGTTACTCTAAGCATATGAAATTTAATGTTTATTAGAGTAACTTACCTTGTGAAGTAATGCTGATATCTTCCTCTTTTTTTCAGGCCGACACCAACAAAGATCGTATTGACATTGCCAATGCCAGAGCAAAGAAACTCATTGACAGCTAAAGCTGCTGCTGTACTGCTTTATCATTTATTCATTTCCCTAGCTCCTCCTTCAAAGTCATTACCTTTCCAGAGTTTGAAATGTTGGTTCCACATTATTCTAATCGAGAGGTGGTATGGAAGAAGATCTAAGAGTAACAGCCTCCCCCTGTTTTTTAAATTTTCTCTTTTTCCCTTGAGGGTAGACTGCTGCTTAGTCTTGGAAAATACTAGAGTATTTTCTTTCTCAGTTCATACTCTTAGATTGGTATTCAGTTATCATATATAGTATTGTTTTTCATCCTCTCCATTTACTTTAGCAGATTCTTCTGCTTTCAAGATTTGCAAGCATTGCCAAAGACAGCTATGTAAAAGGAAGCTGGGGGTGGTGGGGGCAAGCACAAGGAGGAGAGGCAAGAGATAAAGAGGTTGTTACCTCAGTAAAACCTGCAGACCATAAAGCAAAAAGTTGCATGACCACAGTGAACATCTATTGGGTTTAGTTAGTATTTAAGTTGCAGTTATTGCCAATTTAGGCTAATGCTTGGTTTTGGAGCTTTTATAGACAATATTTTTGTTATACATCACAACTTTGCAACCTCTGCTCCAAAGGAAAATAGAATGAGTTTTCTCAAAGTGAGCTTAATTTCTGAACGCTTGGTGATTCATATATGTATATAGATCTATGATCCCATTTCATATTGCACCATATAGGAACACGTGGTATAAATGAATGGCTGTTTATTTTCGTATTAGTAGTAGTATAGTCCCATTTCAGGCCTGTTAACCTCACAAATTTGCTGTTAGTCTTTGAAGAAAAAAATATGTAAATATGTATATATAACATGAGAATTTCTCTCTAAGGCAGGGCTTAAAATTTTTTGAAAAAGTTTGACAAGGTATATCACGTGAATTCAGATTTACCTCAATGCCAAGAATTATGTTTAGATAGGAGAAAAGAAACTTGATCTCAGGTAGAAGATAGTTAAGTTGCTTTGAGTTTTATGTAGCTTTAGACTTTTTTAAAAAAACTAGAATTTATTCTGTTTAAAAATGATTAGAAAATTATGCCTTTGGTTTACCTATTGATGATTGCACTATCATTCTCTTAGCCTTTTGTATTGAACTTCCAGAATCACATTTATTTAGGTCCTGAAGAGTGTTACAAGAATCTAGTGTTTGTCACCTTTATTTAAAAACTAACTTCTGCACACTTCAAAGCTATTAATGTGGATTGGTTTGACGAATAACCACTGTTTGATCCTTACAGTTAAATTTTGTAACTAACTAATGGAATTGTTCTTTCAAATAGGCAATGTACTTCTGTTACTACTTTGGGGGGGAGGGCGGGATAGGGATCAGTAATTTCATCAGCTCTTATTTGACAAACTGAATAAAGCAAAGATCCATAAATCAAAAAGTACTCCAATGAAGAGCTGCCTTTAGTACCTTTCCCATTTTTGTTGGAAATACTAACAGGACTTTTCCCTTCAGTGATTTGTTATGAGGTTCATTTTAATCATTACTAATCTTTTATTCATTTGAGCTTAAATACACTAGCAACTGAAAGGATAATGTTTAAGAATGAAAACTACAGCCCACTTACTGGAGAACTTTCAAAGGCTTAAAAGGAAAATACTTAAAGTGAGATTTAGTTAGGCCCTCAGTAGTAGAAATGTCTCATTCCAAAAGAAGTAGTTTGGCAGGTGGTAGTAAATGTATAAAATAAGATACAAAAAACACTGGGGTCTATTCTGTACTTAAATGCCCTCCTAAAAGCACTAAAAAAAAATTTAACACTGTTATGGCTAAAGAAAGTAGTTCTGAGGATACAATATTCTGCTCCAACAGTATAATTGGTTAGAAGTGTTTAAGGCACCAAATTGTCTGGATTTACACTATAGCTCTGCCACTTGCTAGCTAAGTACTGTAAGTCCATTTCTGTGCCTCAGTTCCTTGTGTGTAAATAGAGATTACTGATTCCTACCTCATAGAATTGTTGTGAAGACTCAACGTGGTAATGCATATAAAGCTCTTAAGAGTAATGCCCAGCAAAAGAAGAGCTTACTAAATGATACTACTATTCTCTCTAGAGTGGCACTCTTTTTGGGTCAAAGATCTCTGGGAATCTGATGAAAGACAACATAGCCTCTCTCCTCAGGGAAATGGACACGCAAACACACACACATAAATCACACTTAAGTGGGTCTTGAAAGCCCATCCTTGGATCCCAGGTTACAAACTTTTTCAAAGCTTCTGTGACTGAGAAAAGAGGAGTGAGAACATAGAAATTAGGTTCATATTACACTAGAAATAGAAGCTGTTGACTTAAAGCTTTCTCTAATTTTCTCCTATAACATTATCTGGAAACTTGTTTCTGTTACTTTTGAAAGTAGTAACTGAAGTGGTTAGCACAAGCTCTAGAGTCTGACCATCTGGTTTCAAATTTTGATTCAGTCATTTACTAGTTTTATGACCTTGAGCATAAAACTGACCTATAATTAAGGAGTTAAAATACGTATCCTCCACTGAACTTAATTTTTTTTTAACAATAAGCTCCCTCTTCAAGTTTCCAGTCTCATAATGACAATGATCTTTATCCCCTGTAGTTGTGCCTGTTCTGTTAGAACCACACTTCAACTCTAGATCTTTTCATGTCATGTGTGGATTATGACTCGCCCCTTAAACTTTTACTTCCCAGACATCTTGTACTCAATTGCACTTAGAATTCGTTTCTTTAAATGCTGTTCTTCCACCTATTTTATTTTGAGGGGGTGGGTAATTAGGTTTCTTTCTTTATTTAATGGAGGTACTGGGGATTGAACCTAGGACCTCGCATACACACTAAACACACGCTCTACCACTGAGCTATACCCATTAAATGCTATTCTTTAGGTTACCCTCTTACTAAAATTCTATGTTATCTCAATTACATTCCTAATCATAATTATATTCCTAAGGTTGATATTCAAACTCCTTATTCTTTAGTCATTTGTTTTTCACCCTATTAATATAGTGTTTGCTCCAAGCCTTCCGTTTCTGTACAGCTTGCTAAATTCTATTTTAATGTCTTACAGGTGAAATAAATGGCACCGTTTATTGAGTGCGTACTCTGTCATGGGCACTGTGCCAAATTATTTTATGTATCTTTTCACCAAATCCTCATAATATATCTGAGAGGTAGGAGGTATTCCTCATGATACAGATGAGAGTAAATTGTTCAAATTCATAAAGATAGTGAATGATGAACTTTGGATTCAAACCAGGATCTTTCTGACTCCAAGGCCCATGATCTTACTCAGTATACTACAGACTTCCAGCCGAGCTCTAAAAGAAGGTAGGTGAGTTAGGGCTGGTGACACTAGAATCTTGTTCTCCAGACCACAAGTTAGTCCACTTTGTTAGCTCATATTTAAGTCTAAATACTTGTGTTCTGTGTCTTTGGGACTTCATTTAGTCCCTGCCCTCAAGTAGCTCAGTCTAGCAAGAGAGAGATGAATATAGAATATGCTACTGTTAACAGATGGAGCTGTTAATTCGGCTTAGACTTCTCAAGAAGAGACTTAGACATAGGGAAGGAGCCTGTTAGTAAGAGAGGGCATTGCTGACTGAGCAAACAATGTAAATACAAGTAAAGGAGAGAGACATTGCACTCTAGGTTTAAGGAGTAGAATAATTTCATATGACTGGACTGGCAAATGAGAGCCAGAGGGTAACTGGAAATAAGGCTGGGTCCAAATTGTAAAAGTGACTGAAGTCAGCAGTCACTGATTCTCATAAAGGTGGGGATTTTTGAAACTCCAATTAATAGTTAAAGAGCTGGGACATTTAAGTTGTTTGATTTGTAAGTTCTGATGTATTAATGATAAGAACTGACAGAATATTTAGAGAAATGTTCATTGTTCAACAGATCAATAAGATTAAATAAAGTTTATTAAAAAACAAACCTCAATTGATAATGATAAACTGGCACCCCCATCCCTCCCAAATTGAGAAACAGAATAACATGGGAAAAAAGAATCCCTAGACCAGATTTAAGGCAAGAGAGGCTTTTTTCATATAAACACTATGTTCCTGGGGGCTCTTGAGTTCATGGTTAAACTAGGTTTGTAAAACGAGAACTAACCATACACGATAAATAGTAGCCCCTTGGCTAAAACAAAACTTCAGAAAACAACAGAGTGCTAGATTTCTAAATGTTCATGTCAATATCTGAAATCATCTACCTTTATACCTTCAGTTTCTCTTAATAAGCATGATTTCAGGGCCACAAAAATGTTTATCAGTCACATGAAGGCATTTCAGTACTCTTACAACCTGAACAAGACCATGAAACATTTCTTCCTAATCAGTTTACTTTCAAACAAAGGGCCATTTACAGGTTAAAGTTCTCCTGTCTTCTTTCTTTAAAGTATTAACATTTCTTCCAGCCAAAGTTCATTTAAAAATCTTTATTTAGTATATCCTCTCATTCAGAGAATAAATTTGATAAACATAGATAGTTATAAAATATTGTAGCAGTAGTTTTTTTTATAGGTAACTTAATTATTAGAGTTTTAAATACAAAAAGGGAAATAGATCACCAGAAATAAAGACATTGTTTCTAACAAAGTTTCAGGAAAATCTTGATTATTAAAACCTTTGTATCTCACAAGTTTTGCATATACAGTTTTAGCTCTTCAGAGCCCTCTATCAATAAGGCACCTGCAATAGTAAAAATAAAAATTTGCTACTGCAGCCTTGGGGGAACATCTTAGTATTGTGTTGTTGCTTCTCTGACAAAGTACACTTTTAATCAAGACAGTCATATATTTATGTACATCCTAAATTCCAAGTATAAACACTGCAGTTGAACTGACGGACTGGAATAAAATCATAAACCTTTAGATTAACCATAGAAGCTTCTCATGAATTTCTTGAATTTCATAAAAATATGAAATGTCAACACAGAGGTGGAACGGCAACTGACTTTATGAAAGCTTATACATTGAAACACGAAATTTCAAGCTGTAGTGGAGCTATTCTGGTACCAGGCAGCATCCCCTCCCTGTATAAACAGCAGCTAGCTACTGGGTTCCTTAAAGCCAAACTAATGATGGTTTTGAAGATCAGCATTGTCCTTTGCCCTAGCCATGACTCAAAATGGAAGACCTCCTGTCTCTCGATTCCTTTTAGCTTATTTGAGATGAGCCCTGGAAAGGAAAGAGATCACTGAGTGAAATACAATCTCCTGGAGTACGTTACTGCAGGTATCCTTGACAACAGGAGTCTTTGATTCAGCCAGGTTGTGACAGGTTCCAAGTCAGGGTCCTATAAGGTTCCCACACTCCTGGAGAGCATCATGCAAACTTCTTCTTGGTGGCTGTGAACCTCTCCATGTACTAAAAATCATGAAAGAATGTATGTGTTACTTTGTCATGAGTAACTAATAAACCTATCGGTTATTCAGGGTTTTATATGATTTTTTTTCCTTTAGGTTTTTATTGGATATGGTCCTTTATTTCCTACAAAATCCACCTATTCTAAACTCAAATTTAAAGCACATGGTTTTGTAGGGTTTTTTCCCTTTCAAAAGATAAAGATGCTTTACAAATAAGCTGTCTAGAGAAAAAATCATCTTGGCGTAATACCATTTGGCTGATTCTCAGAACCCACCTCCAAAATGGGGAACAAATACTGATATAAACTATATATAAAATACTGATATAAACAGGATTATACATATATCCTGTAGCTATAAACATTCACGTGGGTTACTTCACCTTTCTTTTCTTTGCAGTGATTGAAAATGCAGAATTATACTAATACAAACCTTATCATAGCCTTCCAGTTCTCGAAGTTTCTTTATTTCAAAAAGGTTGCCTTCCACAGCAAGCAGACAGATCTGGGAGTCACTGAGGATGCTCTGTGGAAGCATACTAAGCTCAAGACAGTTCTCCTCCAGACGAAGAACTTTAAGGCGAGGACAGCAAGATATCTTCACTGAGATCTGAGATATCTATTGCACAACAATTTTAAAAAGGATAATGGAAAAGCATAAACATTATAATGCTTTTTTTTCTAAATTAAAACAAAAATCTTTATTTGACCATTTGTCCTAGTTCTTTCTTTTACCGCCTCCATTTTCTCACTACCCACTCATTCCAGAAACCTCTTGTTATCCAGCTTCTGTTACTACTCCTCCACTTATTTTTTTTTGGGGGGGGGGATGCTTTTTGAAGGTCACCAGTGGCTTTTTGGAAGCAAAATTTTCTGATAATAAAAGCACTGTTCATTATAGAAAGTGTGAGAATCACACAAGTTTACCTATAATCCATCACTGTAAACATTTTAGACATTTACTGCCAATCTTTTATGTGTACATAGATGCCAGCCACTTTACTACCAAAGTCAGGATTCATTGCCATCATTCCTTGTTG